TTATTTATTTATTTATTTATTTTTTATTGATTTTAGAGAGGAAGGAGAGGGAGAGAGAGACAAAAATATCAATGATGAGAAAGAATCATTAATTGGCTGCCTCCTATACGCCCCCTACCGGGCATGTGCCCTTGACCAGAATCGAACCCGGGACCCTTCAGTCCACAGGCCGACGCTTTATCCACTGAGCCAAACCATCTAGGGCCCACTAGGAAACTTTTAAAAATTCAGATTCCCAGGGGCCACCCCAGACCTACAGGTCAGAATCTCTAGTCTGAGGTCCTGGGCATCTGTATTTTTCCAGTCAAACTTGGGATCCATATGTAGCCAGCCTGGCACCTGGTTTCCCCAACCTATGTTATTGGATAACATAGTGAAACTCAGCTAATTGAGAGGAGTGCAAAATTATTGAAAACCTGGATTATACTAAGTTTAAACAAATGCGGTTTTGTTATTTTCAATCACACACATTGGTTGGTGAAGTATTGCCTATGGCCTCATGAATGACTAGCTAAAAATGACTCCTATTTTACAGCAGTTCTTTGAAGGAATTTAAATACAGTCTGCTTGCCCTGGATGTTGAAACATTCCTCCTTACTAATACTCTGAGCTACTTTATCAAGTCCTTTTTGCCTCCTTAGGTAACACAAGTGTTATATGCTGTTTGAAACAACTGCTGAATTGTTTCATGGGTATATTAGTGCCTCCTTACCTAACAAGTATAGGACCATTATGACATGGGTTGACTCATTTTCATTAACCAATAATGGATTTCTTTCATTTTTAAACTAAGTCTCCTGATGTAGTGCCCTATACATATTTCTCCACTAGATTAGAGATCCTTTACCATATCATGTACCTACTGTACCTAGGAACCCAGAACTGTACCAAGTAGTTGCTCAATAAATGAATGAATAAATACATAAAATGTTTAACAAATGCTTTCAAATGAACAACTGTGCTTAAGGAAAATCTGGCTGATATGAGCATTATTGGGGGAGCTTTTTAAAAAAAATACAAATTCTAAGACTGTAGCCCTCACCAATCAGAAACTCTGGAGGTGGCTCCAGGTGATTCTGGGACTTACCCAAGTTTGGGAACCACAGAAAAGCATCTCCTATGGTGTCCTATCAACTCTTCGGGTAACACGTCCTTGGCATGATTTTTTGTCTATTGTTATCAGCTTAATTATTTTTTTAAAATATATTTTTATTGATTTCAGAGAAGAAGGGAGAGGGAGAGAGAGAGAGAGAGAAACATCAATGATAAGAATCATTGATTGGCTGCCTCCTGCATGCCACCCACTGTGGATTAAGCTGCAACCCGGGCATGTGTCCTGACCCAGAATCGAACTGGGACCTCCTGGTTCATATGCTCAACTTCTGAGCCACGCCAGCTGGGTATTTTTCCTTCTTTCTTTTGTTAAAACTATATTTTTATTGATTTCAAAGAGGAAAGGAGAAGGAGAGAGAGAAACATCAAGGATGAGAGAGATACTTTTTTTTTCTAGATAAAACATAAAAGGTAAATAGAGACCTTGACAATGTCCCATTGGAGTGAGGTTCCCCTGCCCCGGGCTGCATCGCTCAGGCCAGTGCCCCAGTGTATGGCAGTGATATGAGCAAGACCCTTCAGCCTCCCCTGTTCTTGGTGGTTGTGACTTCCTCTGAGCCCTTTTCAGGAAGTAGGTGGTGTGGCATGTGCTGGATGCCTCATTTTCCCCAGAACTCTAGGCCCCCTCAGCCCCAAACCAGAGTTTCCTGTCACCAGCGCTGCCTGTCACCTAGAGCAACTGCAGGGGAGGAGGAGCTCGGGGCCGCCTGCACCGCAGAGCTGACTGCAAACCTGGCCTCGCAGGCTCCTCATATCTGCCATGACTCTTGTTAACAGCTGGGCCCGGCTCTGATTACAAATCTCTGTCCAAAAAAAATAAATAATAATAATAATAATAATAATAATAATAATAATGGCTTCTTGGAAGGAATAGCAACAACAAAATGCTCTTAATTCAATAGAAGAGATGTACCCACTCCCCTCTTCACAAGACAGTTGTTAAACTTCTGGGCTTTTGGTCTATGTTTCTTCCCCTTTAGAATAACTTACATATGCAGATAAAGCTGGCCTCTGTTGAAGTTTTGTTTCTTCCTGCCTTGCGTTTAACCCATCACATTTCAATGAGGCAAGAGCAAAGGCTTCGCTATTTAGCAAAAGGGGAGACATTTGGAAGACAACCTATGCTACACATAATGGGTGGATGAATATCACCAACATGATGTTGAGAGACAAAACTGACATACAACATTGCATAAGTTCAGGGTGTACAACATAATGATTTCCTACATGTGTATATTGAAAACTGATCGCCACAATTACTTAACAGCCATCACTACACAGTTACAAGGGTTTTTTTTCCTTATGATGACTTTTAAGACCTACTCTCTCAGCAACTTTCAAATATACAATTCAGTATCGTTAACTATAGTCGCCATGCTGTACATTACATCCCTGTGACTTATTTATGTTATACCTGGAAGTTTGTACCTTTTGACCACCTTCATCCAATTCCCCCATTTTCCACGCCCCCTCCCAAATGTCAAAATAGACTCTTGAAACTCCCAGCAGAGATAAGAGTTTGGGGAGTTTCACAAAGTTTATGTGGTAAACTATATGTTTGGCAACAATGAACAGCATTTGTAAGAGCCAATTGTCGCCAATCTCCTCCCCTGCCCCCCACCACCACCCCCCACACACATCCTGCATGTTTAGGGCCAAGTGAGAGGAAGCAGATTGTGTTTCTGTGCAAGGATAAGCTATTAACTCTCAGTGCTTTGTGAGACAGAGACCATTCATCAGGACTGTTATAAATAAGAGCTGCCTGTTTAGCTGTGTCTGTGGACATCAAACCTGAATGTCTATAAGGATCACATGGCAAGCTTTGGAAAAGTTCAGGTACCAGGGTCCCCGTCTTGAAGATTCTAGTGTGTAGATTTGGGATAAAGCATGGTCAGTTGTTTGCTGTTGCTATTTTGTTTTGTCTCAGGGACTTGTGATAATCAACGAAGTTTGGGACTCAGGGTTTAGGGAGTTAGGCCAGATCAGCGGTTCTCAGCCAGAGGTGGTTTTGTCCACCAGGAGACACTTGCTAATGCCTGTCATCCAGTGGTTAGAGGCCAGGGATGCTGCTAACTATCCTATAAACAGGGAAGGCTCCTACCACATAGAATTACGGGGCCCAAGATGTCAATGGTGCTGAGGTTGGGATAACCTTGAACTAGATAGCCTTTACATGGTCCTTTCTAACCCTGAGGCTCTAGGATTCACACAATTAGCATGGCCATCTGTGGGTATTACTTTTATGTGTAGACAGCCCACCGTTGGGGTTGGGGAATGGAGGGGCCTGTGTTGTTCTAAACTGTGTATGCTTTGCTCCACATGCTACAAGTGTATGCCCACCGCACAAGGTTCCTGTCTCTTTCTGGCCTTCCCTTAAGGACCACACTATGTCTGCATTAAGTAAATCATAATGATAGGTTTTGCAGATATTACCAGCAGAGATTTACAGGTGGGTGGGAACAGAGCATTAGACATGAAGTACTCAAACAAAGCTAAGATTTTAAAGTTGCCACCAGGGAGAAATAAACTGGAATATCCATGTGCTTATACTGATTTTATCAGCGCTAGCAATATTGTCGGGGGAAGTAAAGGGGACATACTTGGGTCTTCCCCTTCTCTCCACTTCCCTCGTGTGCTCGGGAGCTTCACATTTTTTCTCCTTTTGCCCGATAGCAAAATCAGCACTTTGGAAAGGGCCTAAAAGATTTTTTTTCCCCATTAAGGGACTGATAAAGTTTCCAGGACAGAAAGCTTATGCCCTTGTGGGGGAATGCAGATGTACCTTCTAACATTTGATGAATGGAGGCACCACGGAGTAGTAGAATGAGTACTGGCTTTGCTCACAGGCCATGTTCAAGGTTCAAATGCCAGGTCTGCCACTGACTGGTTGTAGGTCATGAGAAAGTCACTTAAACTCTCTGGAACTTGGTATCCTCATCAGGAAATCGAAGATGGTAACTTCTAGATTGTAGTGTTGTGGTGAGGGCTGGACAATATCTGCAAGGAATCTGGCACGTGGCCAGCTCCAAGAGGGCAGCACTTGTGTCTGTTTGTCTTCATTACTACTTAGATCCTCACTAGAATAGTCTCTGACCCATGGCCCATGGTAAGAGCCCGAGAGATATCCGTTGAATGAATATGTAAAATGGCAGCCATTATTGCTGAAAGTCTGCTCTGTGCCTAGCTGGCCTACAGAATCGCGCTCCCCGACCCTCCCCCCGCCCCCTCCTTCACAAGCAAGAAAGCGGAGCTGCGTGCATGAGCCTGGTTTTCTGGGATCACTAACCTTCCATTCTTTCTAACCATTCCAGGGCAAAGAAGGAGCCTTCATGGTACGGGATTCCAGGACTCCAGGCACATACACCCTGTCTGTCTTCACCAAGGCCATCGTAAGGTATGGCGCCACCTCACTTGGCAGAGTGGGGAGAGGCCGTCCTGAAGGGGATGAGGAGGGCAACCCACAGCAATGTCAGAGCAAGAGGTCAAAGGGTCGCTAGGAATGATGTGTGTTCCCTGTCCCCCCCCCCACACACACACCCCCCGCCAAGATGTCCAAGGCCAGAGAGATTAGGGACATAACTGCAGTCACTTAGCAGGAACATGGCAGAGCTGGGGCTGAGTGCCAGGTTCCTTTCCCGGTGAGCATCCCTGAGTGCAGAGCTCCAGAGAAAGAAAATACCTGGCCCTGTATTTGATGAGTTTGTAATTAATTACACGGAATAATAAAATAGATACTTCTGGCTGGCAGCGAGAAGATATGAATTCTAGTTCTGGCTCTGCTAATGAAGCTGCCTGCCATTTCCCGAGTCCTTACCATGTGCCAGAACATTGCAGACCATGTCCAATCCTAACGAGCCCTGAAGGCAGGTGTTACTATGCTTCCTTCACAAAGGAGAAACTGAGGCTCGGGGAGCCGCCTGCACTTTCCTGAGGCAACGGAGTGCGAGTGGCCAAGCCCCGTCATGACTCCGCTGACTGCCTGCAAGACCCTCACTGCTTACTTGTCTGCCCCTCTCCGGGCCTCAGTTTCCATCTCTGTAAAATGATGTCAAATTCTCTTCTAATCAGAAAATCAGGAGGAGTAAGCAGTTTAGCAATTACCAGGAACAAAGAAAGAGGGGAAATGAATTATGAAGGGGTCCTCGTGGAATACTTGTTGGAGGACAGAGGATGTGAGCAAGACTCAGAGCAAGAGCAGGGTTTAGACAGGTGACAGAGAGGAAGGGCGTTGTCCAGGGGTGGGAAAGATGGGGAGAGTAAGCAGTTTGGCAATTACCAAAAATAAAGAAGTAAGAGAAGAGGGAAAATGAATTATGAAGGGGTCCTTGTGGAATAGTTGGAGGACAGAGGATGTGAGCAAGACTCAGAGCAAGAGCAGGGTTTAGACAGGTGACAGAGAGGAAGGGCGTTGTCCAGGGGTGGGAAAGATGGGGTGCACATCAAAGAGGGGCCCACCTCTGCCCTGCCTGGGGGACAGTGGCGAGAGTGACATGGAACTGCATAAGGTAGAATGGAGGAGAGCCAACCAAAGCGGCGTGGAGGTCTCCGAGACCACCCCCAGGTTCGGTGATTCACTAGGAAGACTCCCGGGCTCAGCATGTAGTGGTACTCGAGGCTGAGATTTATCACAGCCAAAGGATGCCAAGCAAAATCAGCAAAAGGCACCTGGGGCCAAATCCAGAGAAAACCAAACACAAGCGACCAGAGTCCTCTCCCAGTGGAGTCACACAGGGCATGCGGAACTTCTCCAGCAACAAGTTGGGACAACAGGGTGAGGGGCAAGGGGCACGGGGGTGGAGGGGCGGGGGTGGGGAGTGGCATCTACGAGGGAAGCTCAGGAGAGACTCAGTGCCCATGGTTTTCACTGGGGGCTGGCCACATAGGCAGCCTCTGCCTAGCACACAGCAACATTCCAGGCTCCCAGAAGAAAAGCAGGCATTGGGCATCACCACATTGTTTATACAAACCATTTAGGCCCAGGGAGCCACCCCTATTAGTTAGAGAATGGTGAGAATCCTCCCGAAATCCAAGGTCTCAGATGCCAGCCCAGGGCCAACCTTGCAAGGGGGTCTTTCTAAGGACATGAGTCAGGGCTGCTAGGTTAACTCTGCTGCACACATCAAACTGGTGCGAAGGGGCCCGGCATGCTTCCCTAGCATATGCTGATAACTAGGTAAACCCTTCGAGCAGGGAAGGCCAACACATGGCATATATGAGGCCACTCCCATTTTGTGGTTGTGGAAGAAACATCACAGCACTGAACTGGGTCCAGGTGCAGACTCCAGTCCTTCAAACAGCACCCAGGGCCAACCTGTCCAGACGGACACAGGTTGACATATACCTGTCGTCTTTGTGAGCGAGGAAAAAAAACACAAAAGCTAGTAGGAACCTGATACCAGTTGGCATTTTTGTGTCAAAGCATTGCTTCTTAATTATTGCATTACTGTTTCATTTGTTTAAGTGAGAGCAACCCCTGCATAAAGCACTATCACATCAAAGAAACAAATGACAACCCCAAGCGATACTATGTGGCTGAAAAGTATGTGTTCGATTCCATCCCTCTGCTCATCAACTATCACCAGCACAACGGAGGAGGTGAGTCCTGCAGGACA